TAGCTATAGGGCCCCGTGGCTGTTTAGCTGGCTGCTACACCACAGTTGTCTGTTTTGGGGCTCCCCTACCTAACGAGCACTGGGTAGTTTGGTTGGTTGGTGGTGGTTGGGGAGGGAGGTATGGGGCATCTTGCTAGTATGATGTCACTGCCGATAGCAATTAGGACAAATGTCAGCAGATCAAAAAAATTTCCCAACCTTAAATGAAGACCTACTTATTTCCAGCGTTAGCCAGACTGTTGGTTGATAATAGAGCATGGCCTTGCCCTTGAAAGTCCTAGGAGTGAGCTTTGCCACGACTGAGAAGAGTTGGGTCAGTTAGTATTCAGGTACCTGGCAGCCCCATTAACTGGGTAGAGCCTCCTTGAAGCAGGTGCTGTATTTTGCAGATGAGAATTTTCCCAGAAGAGTGGCAACCGGGAGAGGCAGGAGGCCTTTTAACCACATAGGCCCCTGCCAAGCCCTTTGGTTTCCCCAACTGCATTATCTTGGTGACTATTTCATTTTTAAATTTGAGTGGATAAGCATTCAGAAATGCTCCCTCTGAGCTCTGCATTTATAAAATGTTGTTTTCATTTCCTGTATTAGAATTCATTTCCAATTTTTTTTAAAGTGGCGCCAGCTGGTGGCACCTGGAGGCAGCACTCAATCAGGCCAGGCGGGAGCCAAGTGAACCAGCAGGGATGGCGCCCTGGGGCACTTGCCAGATCCTGAGGTTCTTGGTGCCTACTAGAATATCAGAGCTGGCAGGAACTCCAGAGGTCATCTGGTCCAACCCCCTCCTTTTCCCCATGGAGAAGGGCAAGTGACTTGCCCACAGTCACACAGCTGGTAGAGGGCTGAGACGGGTCTTAAACCTAGACCTTCTGACTCTCGGCCAGCCCTATTTCTGCTGCACCAGCCCTTGGAGAGAGTGAATCATGTTACACGTGATATCATCTCTTGTCTCCATACCTTTGCACAGATGGTCCCCTAAGCCTAAAATGCCTGGCTGCCTGCTTTACTTCCACCTCTTGGGGCTTGGCCCAGTGCCCTTTCCTAGCCCTGTGCCCAGAATGTAAGCTCCTGGAGGGCAGGGCCTGTTTGTAGCCCCAGAGTCTGGCACAGAGAAGTTGCCTAGAATCCCTTTGCTCTTCTCTTTCTGGCTTCTGACAGAGCTCAGCCCGCGCGCCATCTACTGAGTTCCTGGCAGCTAGCGCCTCTTCCAACCCCAATTCCCTCATGTCTGCTCTGTATGTGTCTTGTATCTCTGTGTATCAGTGCTTTTTCCCTAAGGATGTAAGCTTCCCATGGGCAGGCACAGGCGCGGCTTCACTCTTCTCTGTGCATCCCCAGCGACGGACAAGAACTTGGCACCCAGTAGCTGCTTAGTAAATACTGACCGCTGGATTGGGAGCTGTGGTGTGTGCATTTGCTCATTGATGACGGAGTATTGGACCGCACAGTTCCCCAACCAAGGCCAACATTAGTCGACGAAGTCCTGGAGCTCAGCATCTCGTCTCGTCTCAGCGCTCACCTGGAGGAGCGAAGAGGAAAAGAGGAAGAGGATGCGTAAGGGGTCTTAGGGCATGTCGCCAGGGCCTCAAGAGTCGCTCCAGTCAAGGGGCAGTCCTCAGGGAGGTCTGCTGGCAAGAGTGTGAGACTGGGAGGTTCAGATTCCAGCTCTGCCACATACAATGTGTGGGACCTCCGGCACTGAAGCACTAGCTCACTTCCTGGCCTCAGTTTGCTCATCTTAAAAATGAAGGAGGGAAGAAGGCCCAGGGGTCAGGGAGAGAAAGGTGACCTCCCTGGGGGTCCTGCAATCTGGGGGACCCTGGCCAAGACTCGGGCACCTCTTGAGGAATACACAGGGCGGGCAGAGAAGGTGCTGACCTGTATTAGTGGAGGGAGCTGAGCCTCTGGGAACTCCTGAACAGATGAAAGCCCAGGTACCAAGGAGCTTTGACTCTGTGACATCCCAGGTCCTTGTCAGCTTTAAATCTATGGGGAGGGTTTGGGGAAGAGGCCTGGGTGCCCAGACCTGAGATTTCCTCAGTCTAGAGAACTCCCAGTGAGGAGTCTCCCTCCACCAATGGGGACGAGGGTCTTCTTGGCCGCTAACGCGGGCCTGCATGTGTCAGAGGCACGTGACTCTGAGGCCAGCCCTCTCTCCCAAGCCCCATGGGGCTTCTTCTCATCAGAAACTTGGGATAAAATGGGCCCAAACCTGTTATGTCACTGGGAGAGGGAACTTCCTTTACTAATGGGTGACAATGGGTGAGCTCCATCTTGGCGAGTTAGAACCTTAGAATAGCACTGGCCAGGTTCCTGAGAAGGGGGTGACTCGCCCAGGGTCAAACAGCCAGGATGGGTCAGAAGTGAGACTTCATCCAGGTCTTTCTGAATCAGACACTGGCCCCAGCATTGTCATGGAAATAGGCTGTAGTTAATGATGAATTATATCATTAATACAATTCATTTAATAAAGGAGTCTCAAGTTTTGTGTACTGAAGAATTCAAGTTTCTTGAAAGTAATCAAACCCTGATCTGCCCATGGTGTAAGCCCAGGTTATCTGGGCAGGGCCAGGCTCTGCACTGGTTCGTTCCCATGCATGGCAAAGAGATTTTTCTCTCTGATAATTTTGTTCTTCTTTTGGCAAAAAGAGTAAAGAGAGAGACTCAGATTTTTTCCTTTTGTCTCATCAATCCCAACAGATCTGGACCAGCTCCAAACGGCCCCACCAAGGCCAGATGGCTTCCTCTCCCTGGCAGGCCCCAGGGGGGTGTTGGGGATGAGACGGCCTCGCTTGGCCTCTTTCACAGATTGCCTGTTCAGATAGATCTCACCTTGGTGGTTTCCAGAGGGGCTGGGCCAGGTGCTTAACAGGCACCTGGGAGACCATTTAATCCTCTGAAGATCCTGTCCAAATCAGCAAAAGTGAGGCCTGGAGGGTGTAATTGACTTGGAGAATCGAAAGATGTCAGGCTGGAGGTCATCCCATCCAACCCCCTCATTGTATTGAGAGGGAAACCGAGGCCCACAGAAATTAAGTGACTTGCCCAAGGTACCACAGATGACAAGTGGCAGAGCTGAGATTGATTTCAGGGTTGGTCACTGCCAAGGTCATTGTTCTTTGTTTCTCTCCTTGCGTCCTTCATTTTCTGATGTGATTATAGAATTGTTATGAAAGGGATCGCTGCTATTTGGGGAAATGATTTTTATTTATGCCTCTTCTGCTTAACAAAACTTTGGGGGCCTAACACTAAGGCAATGTGGTGGACAGAGTGTGGCATTTGGAGACCATGGCAGGGGTTCGAATCTTGGGTTTCTTAATTAAATGCAGTAGAAGTGGTTGCTTGGGATTACTGGCGCCGGACAGGAGAGAGGCTGGAGCTCGCCCAGCAGTGGGGGAGGGACCGGAGACAGATTGTTTCACCGAGGTTTGGTTACAACCCTTTCCTTCCAACTCTGCTCTTTTCCAAACCAGTTTTGTGTCTTAGAAGCAGGAAACCATATCAAGGCCAATAGGACCCATCTCTGATTTTGAAAAGTCAGAATTCTAGAAGTAAATTGATTTTGTGTCTGCCCTCCAGCCAGGTAACAAACTCACTCATCCACTTAGTACTTAGCTCAAAACATCCCTCTCCTCCCTCTCTCCCTCTTCCTTTTGACTGTCTCTCCCCCCTCCTTCCCTCCCTTCTCCCACCCCGTCTCTCCTCTCCCTCCCTCCCCCCCTTTCCCGCTCTTCCTTTCTCCCTCTTTCTCTTCCCCTCTGTCTTTTCTCCTCCCCCTTTCCCCCTTTCCCCCCTCTCTCTGCCTCCTCCTCTGTCTCTCTGTACCTCCTTCTGTCTCCCACTCTCTCTCCTTCCCTCCCTCTCCTCATCTCTCTGTCTTTTTCTCTGTGTCTGTCTCTCTCTCTCTCTCCCCCTCCCCTTCCCTCCCCTCTCCTCATCTCTCTCTCTCTTGTCTTTTTCTCTGTCTGTTTTTGTCTCTCTCTTCCTCTCTCTCATCTGCAGTGCAAGCATCTCTCATGGAATGAGGCCACCACAGTGGATTTGGGGGAAGTGTGGCTGCCGTCCCAGGGCAGGCGGGCGATGTCCACCAACCTGACGGGCAGTTTCGTTCCCCAGGCTTTGGCAGCCGAGGGAGAAGCTCGTGTGCATCCAGGCTGCGCCTTCTTTTAGGTCCGACTTCCAGGAAATGTTCTTTCATGTTGCCTCGTGGGTTTGAAATGTGATGCTTGCAGCTGACACTAAGGGGCAAGTGACTTGTTTGGTGAACACATGGAAGGTTGTACCTCTTGAGCTGAATGGTGCCTGATTGTTAATGGGGGGGGGGGCGGGGAAGTGAACTTGAACTTGGGGGTCAGGAAGGCCTGGGTTCAAATCTTGCCTCAGATCTACCAGTCTTATAACTGTGAAAAGGTCAATTAACCTCTCTGACCCTCCATTTCTTCATCTGTAAATTGGGTGGAATAATGCCCAAAGTTTCGTTTTTCTTTCATTTTAGTGAGGGTGGGGCGATAGTGTGGTTTATTCACTTGTGAAACTTTTGTTCAGTCCTTGGTAGAGCAATGTGGGGGGTGGGGGTGGGATTCTTCCTCCACTACCTCCAAAAGTGAGAAGAGAACAGAAGGCATCACAGGCCTGCAGGATGGCATCGAAAGTTAGTTGTTGAGTTTACTGTACCTTTGAAAAGTAGGCTGTGGGTGACAGATGTGCAGATTAATGGTCCGGCCTCTCCTTCTGGTCCACAAGGCCAAAGGAAAAGCTCATTTTATTTGGTGTATGTTAAGTTCGGAATCTAAAATAAAATTAGGTGGAAAAAAAAAAAAAGCAGCAGCCCATGTGGGTGCCCCGCCCCAGCTGCACAGTGCTGCAAAGGCCAAAGTGGAGGGCTCTTCAGCACTCACTTCTGCCGTGAGCAAGTGAGGAAGTGGGCATGAGGCATGAACGCTGCTGCCACTGCCAAGCTGCATGCTGTAGACAGCGTTACAATCTCTCTTTTTTCTTTGCAGGAGCAGGAAGCTTCAGATTCGGAACATACCCCCTCACCTGCAGTGGGAGGTAAGGCCATTCAGCTTGCATGCCCCCTCCCCAGTCAAGGCAGCAGAGCACAGTGGGGGGAGTGTGGGCTTGGGAGTCAACTGTGGTCAACCTCTGCGTGCCTCAGTTTCTTCGTATGTAAGATGACAGTGGGACCAGATGACTTCTGACTTCTCCGAGCCTCAGTTCCTCATCTGTAAAAATGATCAGGTTGTCCTAGCTAGCTTCGAAGGGCCCTACGAACCTCAGGCCCTTCTTTCACTGTTTTGTCATTTAAGCATCATCTCCATCCCTGCCAAAGTCATTTATTTTTTTAGTTATCCCTTCCACATCTTGGGGGCTTGAGGTACAGGGCCTTGTGATCTGGACAATCTGAGTACAATGTTTTGGCTCACTCTTCATACCAGAGAAGAAGTCTGAATTTTTTCTTTTTCTTTGGTGGGGTGTTTACAGAACCTTATTGTAAAATTTGGGTTAAGTATTTGGTCAAAGACTCTGTCATCTGCGGGGCTTTTGCATGTCACCTGTGGCTTCTGCAAAACCCCAGAATTTCCCATTTAATTTCTTATATGGACCCGCCCACAGTGGGGAGAGTCGAGATGTGGAAGGGATGACTGTTCAGGATTTAGGAGACCTGAGGTCGCTGGAACCAGAGGGTCTTAGTTCAGCTCGGTCCCTATTGCCCCCTGGATGAGTATCACAGAACCAGGCCATCCCCCCCACTCCAGGCTTCTGATACAGGCCCTGCTCCCTTTCTTGCCAAGGCATTGAAAATAAAAACTACCTGCTCATGCCTTCTGAGACCCTGCCTGCCCTCTCTGCCTTTTCTTCCTGGAGCTGGGAAGTGCTTTAAGGGGGTGCCCTGCACTTGGGGGTTTCTGCCCCCTGGGGCTCTGGCAGCTTCAAGGAGCTCTTTTTAAGGCTTGACCTCCATGCTCTTCTCTCCTCTCCTGTTTCTGGGCCTCCCCCTGCCTCTCCCCCGTTGTGGATCTGAGGTGCTTGGAGTTAAAGTATCAGTTGTCACCTCCATAGAGAGAGTGACCATGGACAGAGCACTGACTTTGGAGGCAGAGGACCTCCCTGTATTCACATCCAGCTAGAAGCTCACTCCCTGTGTGACTTGGTCCAAGTTCTTTCAACTCCTTGTGCCTCGGTTTCCTTTTTTGTAACATGGGGGGGGGCCTCAGTGGTCTTTTAAGTCCCTTGAAGGTCTAGCAGCCTCTGGTTCTGACTCTCAAACCTTCATCTCCGGCCCTGGTCACCACCCTGACCATGGTCCTTGCATGAGCACCCACCCACACCGCTGGCCACTGCATGGGATTTCTATGGGAACCTCAGACTCAGTGGGGCCAAAGCTGCCCTCCTGGCCACTCTGCCTCCCGCCTTACCTCCCTTTCTGTCCCTCTATCCTCCTGCCTCTATTTCCTGCCCTCTCCCCCCATTTATCCCTCTAGCTCTCTTCTCTCCTCTTTTTCCCTTCCTCTCTCCTGTCTTTCCCTCTCCCTCTCTGTTTCTCTTTCACTCTCTCTCTCCCTTCTCTCCCTCTCTCCCACACTCCCTCTTTCTCTGTCTTTGTCTCTCTCCCTCCCTTCCTCCCCTTCCCCTTCCTGTTTCTCCGTTCCCCTCCCTTTGTATCTTTCCCTCCCTTTCTTCTTCCCTTCACTTCCTATCTCTGTCCCATCTCCATCCCTCCTCCTCTCTCCCTCTCTCCCTCCCTCTTTCTCTCTTCTCTCCCTTTCCCTATCTCTCACTGTCTTTCTCCCTTTCTCCCCTCCCTGTTTCTCTTCCTCCCTTCCTCTTTCCCCCTCCTTCTCTGCCTTTTTCTCTTTCCCCTTCTCTCCCTGTTTTCCCCTTTCTCCTTCCTTCCTTCTCTGTTTTCCCCTTTCTCCTCTCTCCCTTTTTTCCCCTTCTCTCCCTCACTCTCCCCTCTCTCTGCTCCTCTTTTTCTCTCCTTCACACACTCTCTCCTCTCTTCTTCTCTTTCCACCTCTATCTCTCTTCCTTTCCCTGTTCCTAAGTCTCCTTTTTTCTCTCTCTTTCCTCCCTCTCGCTGTCCTTCCTTTCCTCCCTGCCCTTCTCTCTCTCCATTGTTCCATCCCCCTTTCTTTTTTCTCTCTCTCTCCTTCCCCTCTGTCTCTTCCCCTTTCTTTCTCTCCCCACTCTCTCCTAGTCTTTCCTCACCCTCATCCCTGCCTCTGTCTGTCTCTGGCTCTCTCCCCTTCTATTCCTTTTTCTCTTTCCTTCCTCCTGTCTCCCTCTCTCTTTCTCTTTCTCTCCTTCCATTCCTCCCCTCTCTGTCTCTCCCTGCTTTTCTCCCTTGTCCCTTTCCACCCTCACTCTCCCTCTCTTCTTCTATCTGCTCTCTCTCTCCTTCCTTCACTAGCTCTCTCCTTCCAGCCCCTCCTCCTCCTCCCTCTTCCCCTCCCCCTCCTATCCCTCCCTGTCTCCATCTTTCTGTCTCACTTTGTCTCTCTCCCCTCTCGTTCTCTCTCCCGCTCTCTCCATCTCTCCCTCTATCCCTCACTCTTCTCCTGTCTGTCTTCTCTCTCTCCCACTCTCTATCATCCTACCTCAATTCCTCCCTCTCTCTCCCTCTTTCTCCCTTCTCCCATCTGTTCTCTCTATCCCTCACTTTCTTCCCTTCCCTCCTCTTCCCCATCTATTCTCTCTCTCTCTCCCCCTCTTTCCGCTCTCTACCTTCTCTCTCCATACCTCCCTTTGTCCCTCCCATTTTCCATCCCCTTCCTCTCTCCTCCTTTTCTCTATTCCTGTTTTTCCTCCTATTCCCTCTCTCTCCCCCTCCCTCTCCCCTCTTGCTCTCCTTCATTCTTTCTCAACTTCCTCCCTCTCTGTCCCATTCTTTCTCTCCCCCTCCCTATTTGTCTTTCTCCCTCCTGTCCTGCTTGCCTCTCTTTCTTTCTGTCTCCTGTCATCTCCCCTTCTCCATTTTCCTCCCTCCCTCCTTCACTTCATCTCTCTCTCCTTTCTTTCCCCCCTCTCCTTCCCCCTCCTCCCCTCTTTGTCTCTGTTTCTCTATCCCTCCTTCCCTTTATTTCTCCTTTCTCTCCGTCAGTCCTTGCTTACCTCTCCCTTTCCTCTTTTCCCTTTCTCTGCTCTCTTTCCCTCCCTCTTCCTATCTCTGTCTCTCTCCCTCTCCCTTGCTCTCACTGTTATGTACTCTCTCTTCCTCTCTCCCCTTTCCTATCTCTGTCTCTCTGTCTCCCCCCCTCTCTCCTGCCTGCCTCTTTCTCCCCCTCTCCTTTTTTTCTGTCTCCTTCTCCCTCTCTCTCCCTCTGTCTTTCCCCCCCTCCTTCCTCCTCTCTTGTTCTCTCTTCCTATGTCCATCTCTCCGTCACTCTCTTGGTCTCTCTTGCCCTTCGCTTTCTCCTCTCTGTGCCCCGTCTCTGCCGGCCTTCATCTCTGTCTTTCTCTCTCCTCCCTCCCTCCCTCTCTCGCCCCTATCTCCCCCCTTTCTCTCTTCTCTTTCCCAGTCCTCATTTCCTTCCCTTTCCCTCACGTCATCCCTTTCTTTGTCTCTTAATCTCCCTCTTTCTCCTTCTCCCTGTTTCTCCCTCCCACTCTTTCCTGTTCCCTGCCTCATTCTCCTGCTTCCTCCTGCTCCCTATGTCTGTCTCCCTTTTCTTCTCTCTCTGGCTTTCTCCCTCTCTCACTGGCTCTCTCTCCATCCCTATCTTTGTCTGTCTCTCCCTTTCTTCCAGCCTCTATGTCTTTCTCTTTCCCTCTCTCCCCCTTCCTTTTCCCTCTTTTCCTCTCTCTCTCTCTTACCCCTCTCTCTCCCTCCTTATCTCTCTCTCTCTCTGTCTTTCACCTCTCTCATCTCTCCACCTCTCTCTCTCATCTCTCTCCCCCTTTTCTCCTGGCTTCTTTCTTCCTCTTTCCTCTTCTCCTTCCCTTTCTCTCCCCCTTTGCCTCTTTCCCTCCCTCTCTTTCTCCCTCTTAGCCACTCTCTCCTATCCTACCTCTCTTTCTTTCTCCCTCCCTCCTCTCTCTGTCTTTCTTGTCCCTACCTCTGTCTCTTCCACATTCTTTTTTCTCCCCACATTCCTTTTTCCTTTCCTCCCTCTCACCCTCCATCTCCGCCTCTTTCTTCCTCCTTCCATTCCTCCCCCCGTCCCCTTTCCCCCCCCCACTCTCCTTTCCCACCTCTTCTCTTTCTCTCTTTCTCTCCCTCTCTTCTTCCTCTCCCTCTTCCCTTCTCTTTCTCTCTCCCTCACTGTTTCTCTTTTCATCCCTATCTTTGTCTCTCTGTTTCTCTTTCTCTCCCCTCCGACTCTCTCTTGGCCTCCTCCTTCTTTCTTTCTCCCCCCCTTCTCTCTCTCTCCCTGTCTCTCTCTTTCCATCTCTCTCTCTCTCTCTCTCTCTCTCCCTCCCTTCCTCCCTCCCTCTCTCCTCAGTATCTCTTGGCCCCCCCC